CTTGCATTTATGCAGGAAATGCCATGGTCTTTAAACCTTCTCCCTTCACGCCTGTTTCTGTTTTGCTCCTGGCTGAAATCTATACCGAGGCTGGTGTGCCTCCTGGGCTCTTCAATGTGGTGCAGGGAGGTGCTGCCACCGGCCAGTTTCTCTGTCAGCATCGCGATGTGGCCAAGGTTTCCTTCACCGGAAGTGTGCCTACTGGAGTGAAGGTACAGAAGAACCCAGCCTTGGTGAACTCACATGATTCCGGATCTGGTAGTGCCAGATATGCTACACTACTGTCATGTTGATGGATCCATACTCCTTTGTCCAGGATGTGTTTTATATGTCTTTGGATTTTACCTAGATGATATGGGGCCAGAGCCTGAAGCGGAAGTGGGAGGCAGGGAGGGAACATGCCTGGGCCTAGTGTGGAGAAGGTCCCTCCCCTGCCTGAGGGGACAGTGGGGAGAGTGGGGGCCTGTGTAGGAGGCAATTTTGTCAGGTTATTTCACATTCATTTGTTTTTACTTCAGTTTGTGTTCTGAGCTCTGTTAGCCTGAAACACAGTAACACAAGAATTCCTGGCTTGATAATCCTGGGAATTTGTCAGGGTTTTAAATGAACCCCCTCTTTAGATTTTATTTTTAATAATTAATTATTAATTTGTGCTGGCAATGGGATTTGAACTTGGGACTTGGGCACTGTACCTCAGCCTTTTCACTCAAGGCTGGCACTCTACGACTTGAGCCATGCCTCTACTTCTAGCTTTATTTTTTAAATTCTTATTTTTTTTTTTCCACAGTGGTCCCTGCGTGTCTTGTTTGAGTACCTGCTTTTTTTTTATTGTGAAAATACTATACAGAGGGGTTACAATTACATGGGCAAGATAATGAGTACATTTTTTATCAAGCATTGTTGCCTCCTTTGTTTCCCCTTCCTATCCCTTCCCATCTCCCCCAATCCTCCTTTTTAACTTCTTTATTGTGATTAAGTGATTACATAATTTCACAAATTTTACAGTATTGTGGGATAGTGATGCTTAGTTAAATTTACAAACACATTCTAACTTTCATGGGGAAAATTGTCTATGGTGGTCTATAAAGTTTATGAGTTCTATGAGCTTTGACAATACAGTTATTTCTTCCACATCTGATGATGTGTACATTCCTTTCTTTTTTTGCATAGTATTAGTTGTTCCCTCTTTCCCACTCATTCCCTCCCTCCCATCGCTGCCATTGAGTTGCTTAGTTTGTTTTGATCAATGTCCAGTGCAGCTGATGGGTCCCACTGTTGTATGTTTTTCCCTGACTTCCTCTAGTTCTGTGTCCTCCAGCTTTCTGCTGGCTAATTGGAGATAAATGTTTCATAGAGTTTTGAGCCTCAGCTGGCTTCAAACCTTGATCCTCAGAACTCAGCTTCCTGAGTAGTTAGGATTACAGGCATGAGCCACCAGTACCTGACTTCCTCTTTAGCTTTTAAAGTATAGTTCTGTGGATGTACTTCAGATTTTTGGAAAAGAGTATTTTAAGTAGACAAAGGGCACAGTGTATTAATGGGTAAGGCTGTGGGTCATAATATAGTTTAGGGTGACTGGGTTTAGGTTTAGATGGGTTAGCATGCAGACTAACTCGTGTTCACCCTCCTGCGTACTTTGTTTTATTCTGTAAGATCATGGAGATGTCAGCTAAAGGAATCAAACATGTCACCTTGGAGCTCGGGGGCAAATCTCCTCTCATCATCTTCTCTGACTGTAACATGGAGAATGCTGTGAAAGGGGCACTGATGGCTAACTTCCTCACACAAGGCCAGGTATGGACCGTATGGGAGAGGCTTAGAAGGAGTGTCTGCTGGTACCTAACAGCAGGTCCCCTTGCTTTCTGTTGTGAGGTATTTGCAGGCTTCCAGAATAGTTGCACTAACAGAGAATTTCCTCATGTCCCGGAACCTAAAGTGAAAATATTTACTTGCTCGTTTTCTTCATCTGTTTCCTATATAAGTTTACATGTTATGATAAGAAGGCCCCTAACCTCCAAATATTTCAGTGTGGCTGATGTCAAAGAAGTACATTCTTTTAACCAGTTCAGTATTCTTTGTATATGTGTGTGTGAGTGCATACCAGTACTAGGTCTTGAACTCAGAGGCCTGGCACTGTCCTTGAGCTTCTTTGCCCAAGGTTAGCACTCTACCACTTGAGCCACAGCTCCACTGCAAGCTGCTTTGGTAGTTAATTGGAGGTAAGAGTCTCAGACTTTCATGATTGGGCTGGTTTCTAATCATGATCCTCAGATCTCAGCCTCCCAAGTAGCTAGGATTTGTAAGTGTGAGTAACCAGCTCCCAACTTGGCTCAGTACACTTAGTAAAAGAATAAATTGGAGCTGGGCAATGGTGGCTCATGCTACTCAGGAGGCTGAGATCTGAGGATCGTCATTTAAGGCCAGCCCAGCTTGGGCAGGAAAATCCCTGAGATTCTTATCTCCAATAACCCACTCAGAAAACAGGAAGTGGCAGTGGCTCAAGTGGTAGAGTGCTAACCTTGAGCTGAAGAGCTGAGGGACAGCGTTCAGGCCCAGAGTTCAAGCCCTATGACTGACAAAAAAAAAAAAATTAAATAAATAAATTGGGACTGGGAATGTGGCTTAGTAGTTAAAATTTATGTACAAAGATATTAGTCACCCTATTACTTATGATAGTCAAAACTGTAACATCCTAAATCTCTCTTAGGAAAAAATATTTGTGTGAGTTAAGATGCATTTCTATTAGGAACTACTATAATCCCTATTAGAAAAGATCCTGTTGGGGGGCTGGGAAGGTGGCTCAGTGGTAGAGTGCTTGCCTTGCATGCATGACGCCCTGGGTTGGATTCCTCAGCACCACATAAGCAGGAAAAGCTAGAAGTTGGCAGGGCGCCAGTGTCTCATGCCTGTAATCCTAGCTAGTCAGGAGGCTGAGATCTGAGGATCGCAGTTCAAAACCAGCCAGGGCAGGAAAGTCTGTGAGACTCTTATCTCCAATAAACCACCAGAAATGGCGCTGAAGCTCAGTTGGTAGAGTGCTTGCCTTGAGATGAAGAGCTGAGGAACAGCACTCAGGCCCAGAGTTCAAGCCCCAGGAAAACACAGACACACACACAGACACACACACACACAGACACACACACAGACACACACACACACACACACACACACACACACGAAGTGGCACTGTGGCTCCACTGGTAGAGCACTAGCCTTGAGCTGAAGAGCTGAGGGACAGTGCCCAGGCCCAGAGTTCAGGCCCCAGGACTGACAAAAAATAAAATTTCCCCAAAATCCTGTTGGACTGGGAATGTGGCTTAGTGGTAGAGTGTTTGCCTACCGGCTTTTTTTTCTTTTTGCTTATGTGGTGCTGAGGAATCGAACCCAGGGCCTCAGGCATGCAAGGCAAGTGCTCTACCACTGAGCCACCTTCCCAGCCCCACATTGATAGATTTTTCTTAACAGCTGGCCC